CCTTAAGCTACGTAATATGTAAAAAATTACAATTGAAGAATTAATGAACTAACTCTTAAAAAATGGCTCTTGCGAAATATAAGTAAAATTGTATAAACTATAATATCAATATTATAATATACATATACCATAATATTATGCCTTTTTAAAATATTTTTTTAAGTATTTTCTTCTTATTAAATTTTCTTTCTAATAACGTAACTCTAAACTAAATTTGGTATTACTAATATAAAATTCTCACCCGTTTGTTTCGATGACCAGCGCCATAGTTAAAAACACACTCGACACGGTTCCCTAGAAATTTATTAATCCGCAATTCTAAATTTTATTTGTTTTTGTTATGAATATATCCGTTCACGTTAATGATTTAAACGAATCCAATTACAGAAGTACACAATAATAAAAAATAAAAATGCTATAAATAATCGTATTAACAGGAAAATGTAAAAAAAATATTTAATAAAAAAAAATATTATTTTAATAACGTCACATGACAGTTGTGATCTTTGTGCGAATACGCATAAGCAGTGCAATGCGTCGCTGTGCCGCGACACGACTAACCACAGTACTTCTCGCCTAGTTTATCTCGACTTTTACATATTTCTTCCTACAACAATAACGCCTAGTGTCCGTATCAATTTTCTGCACGAAAGAACGTGTTAACAACGATCTGTGATGTTGTCGGACGATTTTATCTTAACATTCGTGACTATTTAAATCGATTAACGCACGTCGGGTTCTTTGCAGAAATCAACTGCTAATTAAGTATACGAAGTACGCTCAAGATAATTTGATTTAATGTGCACTTTTTTTTATTGCTTAGATGGGTGGAACGAGCTCACAGCCCACATGGTGTTAAGTGGTTACTGGAGCCCATAGACATCTACAACGTAAACGCGCCACCCTCCTTGAGATATAAGTTCTAAGGTCTCAAGTATAGTTACAACGGCTGCCCCACCCTTCAAACCGAAACGCATTACTGCTTCACGGCTGAAACAGGTAGGGTGGTGGTGTCTACCCGGGCGGACTCACAAGAGGTCCTACCACCAGTATAAAATTACACGACATACCTACAGCAATCACGCACATACATATATGAGAACCCAAAAAATTACTACCTCTACATTTCATGCGCATCTCCAAACATTATTTTAACTATATAAACGAAAGAAAAAATAAGAAATAGTTCTGCGTTTGAATTTACGAAAAATACGTTCGCAAAATCATTCGGCTGATTTATACGAGCATACCTTTGATGTTTCGCGTTATCGGTCTGCGTGCAATGTTGGCTCGATTAGTGAATTTTCATTCGGTTAAATGTCAGTGGCCCCTCAGTAGCTTCCCGCTCCATAATTGAACGGTCAACGGCATTCAAAAACAACTAAGCCACGTTTATCTTTAGCTACGGTGCTCATTAACAGGTATTACTCAGTACTACTTACTTAGTATATTATTGTACCTAATATACTAAGTAATAATATACTATACTTTACTGGTGGTAGGACCTCTTGTGAGTCTGCACGGGTAGGTACCACCACCCCGACCATATCTGCCGTGAAGCAGTAATGCGTTTCGGTTTGAAGGGTGGGGCAGCCGCTGTAACTGTACTTGAGACCTTAGAACTTATATCTCAAGGTGGGTGGCGCATTTACGTTGTAGATGTCTATGGGCTCCAGTAACCACTTAACACCAGGTGGGTTGTGAGGTCGTCCACCCATCTAAGCAATAAAAAATAAATAAAAGCACCAGCTTTCATATAAAAAGTTATGAAAATCTAATCATCACACATAAACAAAACAATTGAGAATCTCCTCCTTTTTTGAAGTCGGATAACAACAAATTTAAATCAATACATCACTAATCTAAAATCTGCATCACAAGCGCCTGCATGATCTCATACAAAAATAAATATCCTAATGTTATTTATTTGTGAATTCCTTTATTTTGTGTTTGTTAAATATTTTTCTATTGGCTATTCGCTCACTCATGTAACGTTTATTTGGTAGAAATACGTCTTATGAGTCCGCACAGTTAGACAACACCATCCTGCCTATTTCTGTCACGGACCAGTAATATATTCGGTTTGAAGAGAATGTCAATCGTAATACCGTACAACTGAGATTTAGATCTCAAATGTCAAGCTGGGTGGCGCCATTCAAGTGACGTCTACGGTATAGACTATATTTACTAAAGTACTTAAAGGCTGTGGTCTTGGTTTGTTATATCTTTATTTTTATTCAGCAAAAAATATATACTAGAAAAATATCCAATATTATATTTACAAAATACCAATAACTAATATATCGTACGTCACCACAACACTTTCATTGTTTAAGGGCAATACTATTTACACAATGTAGTTAGAGCCGTTTATTCAACTTGCTAATAGATAGACATGCATACATATATATTTAAAAAAAATGTGCCTTTATTGTTCACTGAATAAAATTCGCAACAATGTAACATTGTTTTAATTTTCCAATATAATCGAGGTATTTAATCACCTATTGTATTTATTATTTTACCTAACACTAGCAAACTTAATGCCCACTTCGTGTAAAGATATTGATAGAGCCTATTATGAAGCCGTAGCTTTAAAGATAGGATGCCTTATGTACTCATATCAAGCGATGCGACTATGTCGGCGTTCAAAACCCGCATTCAGGTAACAAATATGTACCTAACACTTATTTACGAACGATTTCGTTGTGGAAGGACGTATTATGAGTCCGCACAGGTACCACCATTGTGTTATTTCCACTGCGAATCAGTCATGCATTCCGGCTTGAAGTTTGGGACATCCATTGTACAATGAAATTAAGATCTCGATCTTATGCCTCGAGTTGAGTGAGTGTCGTCTTTACGTTCTTATGTTCTCCAGACAGTTTGTGATTGACAGCGATTGCGGTAATATCTATATATTAATACGTGAAGCAAAAACTTTTATATCCCTTTTTACGAAAATTGCGCGGACGGAGGCGTATGAAATTCTCCACACTTATAGAGAACATAGAGAAGAAGTGCACAATGCTAATATTTTTTTAAAATAATGCATAAAAGATACATATTAAATAAATAAAGAATACATTACAGACACTACATACCATGTATTTGACGCACACACGCATGCCTACTATTTATTGTCAAACTTTTGTTCTTGACGTCTGTGGTCAAATTGAGAATAGATTAAATATTGTTTGTCTTTATTAATAATTTTTTATAGTATAGCCTTGGCGAAATTTGTGATTATAGAAGTATAAAATACAATCATAATAGTGTACAAACTTACATTTCCAATTAATTATAGTCGAATTTCGACTACTGGGGGACCACTAGTTAATATAAAAAAGACGAAACAATTAGAATTTAATTTGTTGATAATGAAGTCTAAAATACATAGCGTACAAAGATTATATTGCTATTCGAACCGGCACGCGTCATTGGTTCGAATCAGAAATAATTCGTTAAATGGTAACCCACTCGTACGAATGCGAACCACGCAAACATCCGTCAGGATTCAGAATAGGTATAGATTCAATTTGTATTAAATCGATTTTTTCGCAAATACAACCACAATAGAAGTGTGTGATACGTGAACTCGATCGATTCGAGTTTAGGACGAATGAGTCACTCGATTGGTTTATTGGCACACAAGTATGTTTTGTCAGACAAATGTCTGCCAATGTAAGTAATATGTTTATTTTAGTTTTATGTAAGTGCACTTTGTTTATTTCGAGCGATGCGTAAAGGTGTTGGCGCCTGTTCGTTTTATGTGACTCATTGATTGAAGTTGGTGGATAAAGTCACTGACTGTTACTTTGATTGAAGTTGGTGGATAAAGTGATTGACTTTTTACTGGTGGTAGGACCTCATGTGAGTCCGCACGGGTAGGTACCACCACCCTACCTATTTCTACCGTGAAGCAGTAATGCGTTTCGGCTTGAAGGGTGGGGCAGCCGTTGTAACTATACTGAGACCTTAGAACTTATATCTCAAGGTGGGTGGCGCATTTACGTTGTAAATGTCTATGGGCTCCAGTAATCATTTAACACCAGGTGGGCTGTGACCTCGTCCACCCATCTAAGCAATAAAAAAAACTGAAGTAGTTTGTAAATAAAAATAAAATACACGAAAAAGTACATTTACACTTAGACTTACCAGCCCACTAACGGAAAGTAGTTTTTCTTTACAGTATCAAAAACATTTTTTGATTAGTAAAACATCAAAGCTTTGAATATTTCATTTTAATTTACGCAACATAAAATCACTTGTGCCATACAGCATAAAAATACCTATGAATCTCTTTAATAATAAAATAATAAAAACTTAGTCATTACAACTTGTGCCCTGAAGACACTAAAATCGAATATGAGGGCATACGAAAGAAACGAAGAATGTGTTGTAAACAATAATGGAAGGCAGTTGTATAAATAAGTCGTCATTCCTCTGGCAAACATTCGATAGTAGGCTAAGTACTGCTTTCTCATTGTGTCTGGTCCCCGCGATTGTATGAACAGGACTCATGAATGCGGTTCTGCGTTTTGTAAAATGCTCAGAAAATTAATAACAAACGTAAAGTCTGTTATTTTCAAAGCTAAATCGAATATGGCATTTAGCGCTGGTACGTGTATTATTTTGCGAATTAATTATGTACTAAGTTCAGTACTAAAAACAGTTCACGTGATTATGACTTTTATGATAGTGGCTTCATGAAAATATAATTTAGGCATAGAATTTTTTTAATTCGATTTTGGAAGCGTTTCTTAAAATTTTAAAATACTTTAAGATGTCTAGGTGTTTTTTTTTATTTTTATTTCTTAGGTGGGTGGACGAGCTCATAGCCGACCTGGTGTTAAGTGGTTACTGGAGCTGGAATAGACAGGGTGGTGGAACCTACCCGCGCGGGATCACAAGAGGTCCTACCACCAGTAAAAATTTACGATTTAACGCAGCGACCGCATCTTCGATGATGATAGGAAGTGATTCTTGTAAATACTAACCCGACAGATCCGTTGTCGAGGTTTTTCAGGTGTTTGTTGAGCGTTTCCTTGATATTCTGTTGCGAGTACAACCCGATGGGCGAGTTGAACTGCTTGTGTACTATCTTCGGGCCGGTGGCCATCTCTAGGTCGTTCGTTTAGCGCTGAAATTTAGGAAAACAGGTCTTATTTAAAAAAAAACATAAAAAAATAATCGATCATTAATGTACGAAATTAAAAAACAATAAATTATTTGTTGTTGGTAATCATTGTAAATTATTGTAATGCATGCATGCTATTTGGCATAACTTTAATGATATTTAATGCGTAACGAGTCTTTAAAACTAATGCACTTTGCGATTTCACTGAGAAAGGAATCTTTATTACGTTGCTGTAATAAAACGATATTGCATTCATGTAACGTCAGTAAACACTCCCCCTAGCCGCATATCTAAAAATTAGGGTGACAAATTTTATCCTCCTCATGAGATAATTTTATTACCCTCTCGAAAGATTCACGCCCCGAGGTCGGTGTCAAGCCGCCTCGTGTTATTGCGTTTTTATTAGCGAGGGCCCACCCGAGGACGCCATCGTATTTTTTCTAAATAATAACCCGAGACAGGTAGCTTTGTGCGTAAGTTTTCCATAATGGCGTAGTCGACGAAATAGATTGTAATCAATTTGTTCTGTATTTCACCGTAATGGTAATGTGAGAATAATTATAACGAACAATTTGGTATATACACATACATTGTAGGTCGTGATGGTAGGATTTTTGTTGTTCCGCACGATAACACAATTCTACGCTAACCATGTCAATTTTTTAATACGCTTCAGACGTATGTATGTTAGTATGTAACGGAATCTTTGAATATTATTTTGACCACCCTTCAAAACGTCAGATTAACTCGAAACTTGGTATACTTATTAAGGACCGATGACAATTCAAATCCTAAAAAAAAAAAAAAAGTGAAACGCAACTAAAAAATAAAAAATACTTAATAGTTTAAAAAAACTAACAAAATACGCTTTTATAGAAAATCCAATTAAAAAAGAAAAAATAAATTTTAATAAATTTCAATTAAAAATAGTGTAAGAAAAAAATGCATGTTATCAGTAGTTATAAATATTTTATGAACAGATATTAGTAGAAGGGTTATTTTGATAATATCCTGAAAAGCACCCCACGCTTATTTTACAATAAAATCATTTTTTCTTACACTATTTTTAATTCAAATTTATTAAAAAGAAAAATCTCTTTTTTAGTTGGATTTTCTATAAAAGCGTATTTCGTTAGTTTTTTTAAACTATTATTTTTCCACAAAGCATTCCATTTAAAGGCGTAGAATAGCTGTTACTATTCAATTATGACGATGATGCTTATATCTCATGCTTAGTTCAATTGTAGCGTAGTTCGATCTCACCGTACGAAGTGTTTGGACATATTTTCCGGGTTTATTGGCCCAATGTTCTATCCGCCAATTTAAAAATTACGTCTTACTAAGCGTTATAGTATTCGTTTTTCTTATTTGCAATGAGACTATGAACGTGGCACGAAGTTTGGTTTGGAGAAAGCACATTTTTAATAAAAGTATAGCCAATAACCCTGTAAATGCAATCGCTAGTTCACGGAGTCACTAATGTGTTTAGAAACCAAATGCGTACTTAAGTAAAATATAGTTAAGCCAATATCTAGACTAATGGGTTTAATTGCAGAAACTAACACAAGCAAAACGAGAGAATTCGCCGTAAACTAAATAACAAACATTCGAAATACGAAGCTAAGATCATGGCGTATCATGGAATAATACTCGTATAACCCGTTAACGCAAATTCTGAACCGCAAACAAACCAAAGAATGAGAATTAAAATACAGGGAACTAACTATAAGTTCTTCTCTGAGGTCCTTGGACTCATTCTTTACATATCGTTATTACGAGTACTCGACCTGTTGCAGAATGTCCTCCAGACACACGTAACAGTAAAATGAAAGAAATTCATATACCTACATATGCTATTTTTATTTGCGCCATTTCAGACATTTTACAATTTTCTTGGTCACGGAAGTCTGATATTAAATTTATTCGCACTATCATATAATGTACAGTAATCGCAAAGAAAAGACTTACACTTGCATTTATTCACTATCAATTTCTTACCATTATTGTGATAATATGGTTCATTGTTTAATTAGCTGAAGTACATATTAATGACTTAGAATTGAAACACTATACTATGCAGCACTTTCAGAAAGAGAAAATGTAAATTTTGTTTGTTATATTTTACAATATGTATTAGACAGTGATTAGGTGAATCAGTGTAGGACCAAAAACTGTAATTATCTATTTCCTCTGTACCAAGAGTCCTTCGGGAGAATGAATCCGTTTTCCATCTGGTCGTTCCAGGAAAATAGTGAACAAATTAGTTAACCTTTTATTTGCCCACTCTGCTTCGTTAATTACGAGAGAAGCCATTTGGAAGAGACAATGTCTCGCATATTTACACTGATTCAAACGAAATTAATCAATCTCTAGGATATATTTGCGTCTCAACTCTATAATTTGGTAGGCAGCGGCTTGGCTCTGCCCCTGGCATTGCTGAAGTCCATGGGCGACGGTAACCACTCACCATCAGTAGGGCCGTGCGCTCGTCTGCCTACAAGGGCAATAAAAAATAAAAAAATAATCATAATATTGTCATAAAGCAGTTTGGCTCTCCGGCTTGAACAGGACAATATACCATAAAATTAAGAATACGGCTTCATAAATAGAATATGGGTGACATTTATGTTGATATTCGTCCATGGGCTCCAGTAACACTCTGTTGAGTAACCGCTCAGCAAATATTACAAATAATTAAATATTTATTCATCTTGGCGATAGACATGAGCCAAGTTTAAGATAACGTCAAAACTTTCAAAATATACTTGGTATTCAGGCTTTGTAATGACAATTAAATTAAATTTTCTAAAATACTAAACTGTCTAGTTTATAAAGTGGAGACATAGAGGGCTTTTGAATTAAATTTGCTTATCTATAAAGCCACTGACATTATTGAATTGACAAAATATGACTTTCCTAAAAATACAAATGGATTTTTAGTACCGGTCGAAAACATTTTGTGACGTAGATACAAAAATTTTTCGTTAATAAAATATATTATAATTTATATTAAATTGCATTTTGAAGTATGTTATGTCCAGTTTCACGTGGAAACTGCGTGGGAGTGCGAAAAACGTTTCGTTATCTGTTTGCTAAGAAGAAGCGATACATTGTGTAGACGCGGAGAGGTATCGTCTATTTTCGTTCTGGATTTCACGCTCGCCTGCGTAATAAATATTTGCGTACTTATTTTAAGAATTATTAAAATTCAACTCAACAGTACTCTCGCTATCTCGAACTATGATTGAGACTTTAGATGTTTATTTTCAAATTAACTGTAAACATTCCTGAATAAATATGTTATATTTTCAAATCATCATGAATGTACAAAATTATTAACGTTCACAATTAAGAGGAGAAATTTTGTTGAGAAATTAATTGGACTCTGTTAAATATTTTCTTGTGTAAATGTCTAAAGCAAAGGTCGTTTTGTTTATTAAGGAACAAGGTTAACAATATCGTCATCAAGGTTGAAAATAATCTCCACTAGCAATCGAGACAGTGATTCTGATGTGCAAGACTAACTATTGAAAAGTTTATTTTCGGATAACGAAACTATTTTACCACAAAAATATCAATTTAATCGTTATTCAACATCACGTTTGCTTCTTAAGAACGGTAATTATAACACTTGTATCTCAATAAATGTGACGTAAATGATATGCATTCATGATTAGCAACGCATACGGCGCTTCGCTCCAGACACGTTATTTCAGTACTGTGAAGTCATATGAAAGTTATTTTCGTAACCGTACACCTCGGCGAAGCTTGCCACGGCTTCCAGGTGTTACGGTTTCCAGGTGATTAGTTGTATGAAAAAGAAACGACATCGATATGAAAGCGTTTATTAGTGCTGAATGTTATACGAAGCTAGCTTAGTTGTAGTACCTTGTGCGGCGGGGTTCGTGTGATCGGCGTCGTTGCCTGTCTCAAACTGAAGCGAGTGCGGACCGCCCGCCCACGTTTGCGCTGAGCTCACACTCACCTGCAATCTTTCAAGAATCGTGTTTTTATGTTTCATTATATCGATATTCACGAATCTGATAACGAAAATTTTAAGGGCTCTCTGACGTATTAATTCAATTAATTAATTCCGTTCATCCCTTTTAATTGGGTCGGGGGACGTTTGAAACACATTCATAAGTTTAAACGACTGATAATGGATAAAATAGCTTAAGGGAACGGAAAAGAGAAACCTTTTTATTAACAATGCCAGGAGTCTACCGTTCAGATTTTTTTTACGAATGTAAATTCGAAAAACTCACCTGACTGACAGCTTCGAACTCTTTTTCTGAACCTTGAACTGTAGTTCATGAACAATACGATGACAGACTGGCGGTCAAACAAATGACACCGATCACTGATACCGACGGCTTCCAGCCCACGAATGAAGAGCACGTAATGCGGAATAAACGAAAATTGTATCTAGTTTACATCAACTATATTTAGAACGCCGTATATAAAAGCTGACATTAAAAAATTATGGTCAGTCACAGCTTTTTGTGTTTGTTCAAGAACTTACTCTATTGGCGCAATCACCAAGGCTGTTGAACTCAGTATTCGGCGGAAATGAAAATCGGCACGTTCTGTTTTTGTTAACTTTTCAATGATAGCTCTTTCGCGTTCTGACTTTAATTATTCAAAAAACATACGGCTCAAATACTTCCAAACATAAACGGCTTGAATACTTTTACTTCTATTATAATTTTGTCTATTATCATGAAAACTTTGTATTCAATCTGAAAATGATCTTTTTAAATTTTTTTTTTAGTAATTGCAATAGATCATTGGTAATTGAATGTTTGTGATAGTTATTGAAAATAAAGGGCGGATTAAGATAAATTTTAAACAATTGTTTAACGAGGAGTTTCTATTGTTCTATATAGATATTCTAAATTGATACTTGATTAAAGAAAGATTTTAAATTTTAAGATAAACTGATATTTTATATGTCATACTTGGATTTGTAAAAAATATTTTTTCGTCGTATGGATCCCGATAATTGTAAAGTATAGGAAACGTTGTTTTATAAATTCATCAATTTATAACTACATTAAACTGTAAAACTATCTTCAATTACATGTTATTTAAACTAAATAAATCAAATCAGAAAAACATCATGCTATTTTCGAATTTCCAAATCATCATCAGCCATCACCTTGGTACTGTTTAGTTTGACCTCGCAGCGGACAAAGCCAGGGGCATTCCTAGTTTAAATCCATAATGTATTTTTAGAGAGGTACAAATAGGTGAGCAGGTGTAATGTCGACGGTATGCTCTGTACATAGTGACGATGTGTTCACGGACGGTGCATCAGCCATTGCATGTCAGTCCTACGTAGGAATGCGAATCATCGTCACACGCACACTAATTACTCATTAGTGAAAAATAGAATATAGATCTAATCGCACGATGAATTAATTTGTACCGTCCGTGGCCTACTGAGTACGACGCTCGGAGTATTCCTATGGTGTGACGCGACCATGCGACGCGATCAGAGTAAAAATCTTAAACATAATAGATGTCAATTTTCTTTCGTAATATATATATACGTATGTCGTATACAACTCATTTTCACAAACGATTTCTACATTAAAGGCATCATCATCATCATCTCAGCCTGTCCACTGTCCACTGCTGAACATAGGCCTCTCCAAGTGATCTCCAGTGCGGCCGGTCCGTTTCTACCTGCCTCCACATGACCCAGCGATTTTCACCAGGTCGTCGGTCCATCTCGTAGGTGGCCATCCCACACTGCGCTTGCCAATACGTGGTCTCCACTCGAGGATCCTTCTGCCCCATCGGCCGTCCGATCTTCGCGCCATGTGGCCTGCCCACTGCCACTTCAGCGTGCTAATCCTACGGGCTATGTCAGCAACTTTGGTTCTTCTACGCCTCCTCGTTTCTTATTCGGTCTTGTAGAGAAATACCAAGCATGACCCTCTCCATAGCTCGCTGCGTGACACAGAGCTTCCTAAAAAGATCCCTTGTGAAGCACCACGTCTCGGAACCGTAAGTCATCACTGTTAGCACACATTAAAGGAATATTATAGTTTAAAATAAATTAAAACTCACGATAAAATGTTCTTTGACCTAGCCGGTGAGTGTCCAAACAGTAAAACAAACTGTATAGGTGTTGGAACAGCTGTTTGAGACTTCGATCAAGGCGGTCCTGATAAGCCCCGGTAGTCAATTTGAGTTTGGTTTTTATTTTTGATTTTTAGAATTTGAATGAGGGTATCACGAATATGGTCATTTCACTATCTGAATTTACAGCTATGCTAATAGCATGAATAGAATATACATATAAATTAAAGTTAACTCATATAACTCATTATGTATGTAGTATGTTAAACATGAAATTAAAAGATAAAATACGGTTAACAAAAACAAGAAAACAAACAAAGATCATAGATATAAAATACCGAATACAATAACTGAAATGGAAATGGGCTGGACATTTAATTCGAGATAAAACAGAAAAATGGGCCAAAGGAGTGACAGAATGGTGTCCTAGATATAAAAAGCGAAATAGAGGAAGACAGCAACGTAGATGGGAAGATGACATCAAAAAAGTGGCAGGAACGACTTGGATAAGAAAAACGCAGGATAGAATATTATGGAGAACCCTTGGGGAGGCCTATGCTGTACAGCAAGACGATCAAGAAACCGGTGTCGAATAATAAAACTAGATAATAAGTGTGTTAAAAATGTAACTTAAATTAGATTGTTAATAAAGGCTTATATTATATTATATAACTCATTATTGTCAAGAATACTCGTAGTATTTAATATTTTCTAATTAATAATTTCATAAGTCACCTATTAAAAAAAACCTAACAAATTAAAACCTACAGAATATTATTCTCAGCAAACATACATCTCAGAAGTTTATAAGATTAATTTCGTTTGGCTACTTACTCAATCCTAAGAAGGTAAAGGAGAGCAGTGTAACTGACGTATTGTCAATACCCGTTATAACTTAAAGACAATTCAGGATTGCGACCCGCTGCGATCGTTTCTAAATGGGTTCCGTTGTAGACACTCTTGTAGCTGTTCGAGAAATGTGCATTTACATTACTGCAGTCCGTTGCATAATTTCATCTTCAGATTGAATGCAAGAATTGTAAAAAAAAAAAACATGTGTGCAATTCACACGTGGTAGAAGTGAAACCTTCCAAAATTAAAATACAATTATCCTAAACGTCTTAAGTATATGTAAAATTTTGTCATTAGTAAATAATTGTAAGGTAGCGCCCTCTGTGAATTGATATTTTAATTTCACGTATAATCCTAAATTAAAATTCACTACAAGAGCTTTCATACACACGTTAGTATTAAAAAATCTCACAGATGGCGCTGTATTAAATAGTATGTATATTTCTGTCTCATTCTTTGCTGGCTTCATCCTACACATTTTTGTATTTGTGTCTCTTACCTGTCGTTTTTTCCGTTGCATCCGGTTTGAAATCACAACGATTCTAAAGAAGTTTTCATTTCAAAAACTGGTGATAGGACGTTTTGTGAGTCCGCACGGGTAGGTACCGCCACCCTGTCTATTTCTGCCGTGAAGCAGTAATGCGTTTCAATTTGAAGGGTTGGGCAGACGTGATATTGTAAAAACTGAGACCTTATATCTCAAGGTGGCGGCATTTACGTTGTAGATGTCTATGGGCTCCGGTAGCCACTTAGCACCAGGTGGGCTGTTAGTTCGTTCACCCATTAAACAAAAAGCTATTCGATTTTCAATGTAGAATAGTTAAATCGTAACTATCTGTTTTCGTCCTTATCAACCCATAAACGTCTACTGTTGGATATGTTCCTCGTTCAAGGTTCGACACGATGACCGGTTCTGCCCAGCCACATCCAACGAAGCTCACATCAAACATCGGCTCAACTTGTGGGAAGCCACACTGCACGTGACTCGTTTCTCTCTCTCTCTCTCTCTCTCTCTCTCTTTCGTTTCTCTTCATACAGAAATTCTCGAGCGCCATCAATTTATTGCATTTCGATAACAACAACATACATTGATTTGGTATAGTATGATTTGATGAACTACGATCAGATGAACCTAGCCTAACGTATAGAAAAGATACAACAAATAAAATTTATCATCGTTATTTTTTATTGTACAATGACTGGACGCGTCCATTGTCTCTTTGTGTTAAGTAATTACCGTAACTAATTACCGAAGTCCGTAGGCATCAGAAGACAAATGCGATCTTTCGTCTCAAATATGACATCGAAGTCTTGTGATTTAATTAATAGTACATTGTGCACCAAGTTACACTTTCTTCCCTGTACAGCGGGACGAAAAACGAACTTTCGGCGTCGGTAGGAGAAAAATTGTATTGTAATTTATAACGACTGTGATACGTAAATAAATAATTTGTCTTATTAATTACCATTAAGTTAGGTTCAAATTCCGAGATTAAATTAAAACATTAAAATCGAATAAATGAAAATAACAGTGAGCGGGAGATTGAAGCGTCGATATTTAAGTTCCAAAGATTCATCTAGAGATATATGAAACTTTGGCTCTTGATAAATTTAACTCAGAATAGAATAAACGCGTACAATAAATCTAATTGCATGAAAATCAATTGAAGCATGAGAAAGCCTTTGTGATTGCACTGTTCATTCAAAATCCTTTATCTCATTTCGATTTTGCCGTTTAAAAAGCAAATTTTAATCTCATTTTATTAATTAAATCGATCGTCTCGGCTGTCTAGTACTCTCTCTACTTCGTCTACTATTATGCTATGATATAGGAGATCGACTGCCGGTCGTTTGACAATATTTTTTTTGCCTAAATTATATTGTATTCAGCATATGAATGGTAGGTACTTGTTTTAGTTTTGTACGTTTCCTGGGGTCGTCGGATTAGGAATATATATTTTAAGTTATACCTTCAATAACTCACGGCCCTCCCGGTATGTTATGGTCTTAAGGCATCTTAAGTAAATACCGCTACTTAGATTGAAACTTTGTGGCAACGGACCGGCCGCACTGGAGATCACTTGAAGAGGCCTATGTTCAGCAGTGGACAGTGGAGAGACTGAAATGAGATTGAGACATAAGGCCGCAGTCTCAATTACATTGAGTCAGGCGTTCAAATCTACATATGTATACGTAAAATTCTTTCTCAGAAAAATAACGTCATAATCCCATATAGAGTTCACTTCAAAGAATTTACCAAAATAGGAGTCGATTTCAAAAATAAAAAACAAACCTCCTTCAACACTCGTAATTCATTAATAATTCGTGTAAAATAAATAAGAAATTTGGAATTTATGATTTTATTACTAGAGTTTGCGTGTACGCTCTTATAAACGAGGAATCCACCATTGATCATGAGCCGACCAGTAAAGCATGCATGCTGATTCTATACATTTCTAACGTGAACCCATTATCGAAATGCTTCTCTAACATCAACTTCATGTCTAAGCTAGAGGACGAATAGATGGGTGGACCCATCCAGTTTTTTTCCCTTCCTATGCTTATAGCCTTGAGAGGCTATATCAGCTTCGCCTTGACGTGAGCTCACGGGGCTCAAACTGGGTTTTTTGCTAACACTGGCCCTAGCAAGAGCAGAGCTTCGCAGAATCTACCACTGGATCCGAAACGCGACCCACTGAGAAGATCCGGAGAGAAACTCAGTGGGCTGTGTCTATGGGTTAATTCACTCGTTGGGCCCTTCGTCGCAAGTGATGGGTTTGACGAGGACGGTGACCGGTGCTTGTGGTACCTAAAAGCACCGTTAATGGATCGGGAGGAGGTAATGACGTGCTTAGGGCGACGTCGACTGTTTACCATTCGGTCTACAGGATCGGGTATGTTTTTTTTTTTTTTTTTTTTTTTTTATTGCCCTTGTAGGCAGACGAGCATACGGCCCACCTGATGGTGAGTGGTTACCGTCGCCCATGGACCTCAGCAATGCCAGGGGCAGAGCCAAGCCGCTGCCTACCGCTTAATACTCTCCACAAGCCTCGTTTGAAGAAGGACATGTCATAGCGCTCGGGAAACACCGTGGAGGGGAGCTCTTTCCATAGCCGGATGGTACGTGGCAAAAAAGATCTCTGGAAACGCACTGTGGATGACCGCAGTGGCTCCAGGTAGTATGGATGAACTCTACTCCGGTGGCGGGCGGTGCGATGGTAAAAACGAGATGCCGGTATCATCTCGAACAATTCCTCAGAGCACTCCCCATGGAACATGCGGTACAGAATACAGAGGGAACCGAAGTCCCTCCGCTGTGTGTTCCATCCAGTGTTAAAGTAGCTTACCGACGTCATAACGTGACTGCTTTTACTCAGGTTGAGACATGCGATTTTAGTCTTTATTGTATTGTTTAATAGATGTTCCACACTTTATATTCGAACGGTCTACTGTTTCGCTACAGAAACAGTCAGGCTATGGGAACTAACTGTGCACGCACACCATACGCCCTGACGTTACCAGTCAAGTCTGATATAATAATATGACACCAGATGCGCGGGGAACTCATCCATCAAAATAAATAAAAATCAGAAATCGGAAGTGCGGAAGTCACATTATGGGAATACATTTTTTTGTTAAATCCCAAACAATATTTATGAAGGCTTTGTTTTTTAATCTAAATGTATGTCCAAAAATTGTTTTAAAGCCCTTTTAGGAAAACGAGTGTAAGGCTCACCTAATGGTGAATGGATATCGTCGCTCTAGGAATGCCGTTGTTGTGCCCAACTAACAGCTGAGCCACACCGCAAGCCGCTGCCTACCGCTGAGAATTCTTCGCAAGATTGCAAAAAAGGTCTTTGGAAATGGACTGTGGTTAAACGTAGTGGCTCTAAATACTATAATTAAGTCTACTAGTACTGATAAGCATTCGTTTGTCATTGAATTTTGAACTTTCTTAATTAAATTACTCTAGCTAATCAGGCACCACTTCATCCATATTACTCACCACCAATGTTATGTTATGTTGAGAAGCTGTCAAACGTGAGCTCTGCTGAACACACTTGAAGACTTCGTCCGATATATTTTTAAGAAAGATTCGACTGTGCTCATATTCGACTATGCCAATGTTCCGTAGACAGATAAGTTTTTATAATGACGCCATTCATTTTTCTAATACTAATTTCGCATGACTAGGTCCTAACTTGTATCCACCTCTGCATCGAGGCAGTTATACGTTTTAGTTTAATTGTTGTAATATACCATCGATACAACGATCTCATACTCAAGTCACCTTTGGACTTTGAGTGGCACTCACTTTCTTCAGTCCATGGGCTCTGGTAATCGCTTTAAAACAGATTGGTCGCAATTTTTAACTTATTCGAAGGCGATTTTGTTTTAATTAGTCATAAACATCACTATTAACTCTCCTTATTCTAGCGAACGATTTAAATGAGCCCTTTCAAATGAAATACGGGAAACTAGTGTCGTATAGTTTGTGTGGAGAATACCTCTGCCACGAAACAAATAAGCATCCAATTAGAAGGTTAATTGTCATTCAGAAGCGATAGACACTTTAAGTAATATCCCATAGCATTATGAGCTTTGTGGCAGGTGGTCTTAACTCGTTTGCGGATAATAAAAAATTAAAAAGTTCAATTATAGAATTCTTGAAATTCTTCCGTTTAACATTTTGTAAATAATTGCCAGGCTATAATTTATTTTGGAGCTCGTTTTGACCTTGGCAAATGTCTTTTCTAATTCAATACCCGTAAGTAATTCAAAATATCTCAGGAATATATTCAGGATTTGCTAAGTTAAATGAAAGCGGTGCATACCTCTTGTTAAAATTGTTTATTTCATTAATTAATCTATTTAGATGTAATAACAAAATTAAACATACTACACTTATACTTAGTGTAAACAGTATTCTTTTTAATTTATCAATGCAAACGTGGAAATTTTACTAAACAGACTTGAAGACAGGTCTGAAATGAACGGTGTTAGAGCGAAGTAGTTTTACATTTGCCCAGCTCTAAAAATGTAGAACTCTTCGCTCAGCTCAAGACGGTGATAAAAAGGCTATAAAAGACAAATGTTAAATTAAAAAGTACAGAGACAGTCTTAATATAAAGTTGACTGGAAACGTCAACGGGTGTTCTGATATTTCTGTCGTCAAATATTACAAACATTGACGCACAGTGATCATAGTTATATTTAAAGTAGAGAAATAAAACAAGAAACTGATTAATTAGATGCCAGAACAAAATTTAATAACACTCTAAAATAGTTTATATACACAAATCTTATTAATACGACCGAGTATTATCTAAGAATCTATTAAATATTTTACGTTTACATACATTTAATACGGTAATTTTATTAATAATCGAAAGTTAGGTATATATTTTGACATTGAGAGAAATACATCTAGGTTGCGACGAGAGGATATGTTCTGGGTGAGCTTATTCTTGTTGTCTATCATCTTCCACGGAGCCGCTAGCTTTCACTTCCTTAGGCAAAGCAGACTAAAAAAGTAAGAATATTAAACATATCACTGCAGTGCTTCTATAAATAATAAAGTAATAATAAAAGATTGCCAGAAATAAAATTAATATCGTCCATTATTTACTCTTTTACTGTTAGATTATACAAATGATTGGTACGAAGAGTATTTTGTGATTCATATTGGGGGGCAAGTCCAACTTTTTAAATTGAACTGGTTTTTTTTTCAACTTTTTACTGGTGGTAGGACCTCTTGTGAGTCCGCGCAGGTAGGTACCACCACCTCGCCTGTTTCTGCCGTAAAGCAGTAATGCGTTTCGGTTTGAAAGGTGGGACAGCCGTTGGAATTATACTGAGACCTTAGAACTGATATCTCAAGGTAGGTGGCGCATTTACGTTATAGATGTCTATGAGCTCCAGTAACCACTTAACACAAGGTGGGCTGTGAGCTCGTCCACCCATCTAAGAAATAAATAAATAAAAAATGGTTTCATTTTTCAAAAAAAAAATTATTTTTTTTTTGTTTGGTAGATATTTTGTATGGACAATTGATACCACATTCACTTTTCACTGAACTTCATACTTGACGAAAACATGTAAATGTATTATTGTATAGCAGCTGTCCACGCGGATGCATCGCTCACTCAAGTAGGAGAGAGACAGATGTCGAACGCTGCCGAACGCGGAGGCCGATTGTGCCTCTTTGTCGCTCGTTGCGCGCTCTCGCTTGCACTTCAAGCCTTAAATGGAACNTACCACATTCACTTTTCACTGAACTTCATACTTGACGAAAACATGTAAATGTATTATTGTATAGCAGCTGTCCACGCGGATGCATCGCTCACTCAAGTAGGAGAGAGACAGATGTCGAACGCTGCCGAACGCGGAGGCCGATTGTGCCTCTTTGTCGCTCGTTGCGCGCTCTCGCTTGCACTTCAAGCCTTAAATGGAACGCCTCAGAACGAGGTAACGCCGCATGAGTCATGTTTTTTCGTGCGTGCAGCCAGCTCCATCGAACTATAAGAGGTTGTTAAGTCAAAAAAAATAATTAAATTGCTTATATACGTACCTCGTATGGCATTAAGAACATATTGTTGTCAGATCGGCGGCCGAATCGTAGACGCATAGAAGGGGCTCGCACAGCGCGATCCTGCTCCTACACAAAAATGTAACTTATATCACACACCCTATAAAACTCTTGCAATAAGCAATAAAACACGCATTGTACAGGTTTAATGTCCACAATGATTATCGCGGCACGATACCGGAATTGTTCAACTTCAATAGAACTTAGAAAATAATAACAGTAAAAATCATGTCATGTATCAATACTGCCAAAGCTTTTAATCTGATTAAATGCACGAGTATTTTACTAATTTTCAAATCTCGATTTGAATCTCAAAGATTTACGAAAATCTAGAATTCCGTTTCAAGGAATTCCTGTCGCTCACGCGTTCCGAATCACAGAGTTTGAAAACAAAAATAGTTCCGTTTAGTATTTCAAAGAAGATATTATTACTGTTTCTAGAAAATTCCATTTTCCAATCTTCCATTCGAATTGACCGTATTTTCAATGCGGATGCTTACAAACTTTTTGATGCATTTTAAAACTTATAACTTTAGCTTTTCTTTTGCATATTGACATACAGCGTGCCGCTTTTGTTTTTAAATGCAAAAACAGTGCAACGGTATGTACTTCTCGCGCATTTCTATTTATAGATTTACGTTCTGGATTCAAAAAGAGAACATTCGTCATAAATCGTTCGGCGTCGTAAAACAAAGAATAGTGCCTTGTTAGAGGAAATAACTTCATTACAAGGGTTAACACTGCATCAACGAGTTTTACGATCTCCTGATCAATACATACTATTGGGATTTCGATGAAGAATGTTTTTGTTTTCTGCTCTAAACAAGAACCTGGTATTGGTTTTCATCTCAACATTTATCTGTTATCCATCTACTCAATATCTATAGCGCCTTTATTTCTATGCCTTTAACTTGAAACTATACACGGAATCATTTTTATCCTATAATGTTCCGTTATAGGTTCTTCCTACCAACCTTCGATGACTTTAGGATAAAATCTGACAAAATAAATGGTTAATACGGCCTGTTAAAAACAGCAGCGCATATTTTAAATTAGATTGTTTTTAAAAGCATTTATTTATTATAATTGTTTTTAAAAACATTTAATTGCTTGCTTTAAATGCTGTTTGCTTTGCTGTTTGTTGTTAATTGCTTGTTTTAAATACTTTAAATGTTTTAAATTCTTTTCTTTTATAATTTTCCGATTTTACCTCCTGAGGGAAGATATGTGGCACAGCGCGTTCGTCAGAGCGGCGTCCGAAGCGTAGGCGGACCGGGGTGCGGACCTCGCGGAGAGAGAGCAGCTCATCCATCTCGTCAATCTAACACAATTCAAAAAGCTTATAAAGAAACTAGCCTTACTCGCCCGCTTCGCTTGGCATTTAAAATTAACATTATTATTTATTGTCATTATTATTAGGAGGTACAACACTCATATAAATATTAGCCTATCCATTAAGTACAGGTATTTTATACATGGATACCAAGTTTCAAGTCAATCGGATGCATGGTTCAGTAGTTATAACGGAACATCCATAAAAACCACTATAGATTTATATACCTACTAGCTGACCCGGCAGACTTCGTAGTGCCTCAATCGATAAATAAAAGACACATCAAGGGGACACATCAAAGGAAAAACAAAATTGTTTGTTTTTATATAATTTCGAGCTTTTTTATATTTTCTCACCTTTTAAACCTTCTCTGGACTTCCATAAATAATTCAAGACCAAAAATAGTCAAATCGGTTCAGCCGTTCTCGAGTTTTAGCGAGACTAACGAACAGCAATTCATTTTTATATATATAGATTAGTATAGATTTAATTTTTTTTTATAATTTTTTTCTTCTGCCGTTACTGTACTAGGCGGTATGAATACAATACGTTATTCTTGTTGCAGTTTGCATTGGATTTTAATTTTACCAACGGCCACTTTCTCGATTCTACCTCCCTTTGGTAATGGAAGAGCTTCGATTTATTAATTAGATAGATTTCGAATTTTCAAAACAACGTTAGGTTATTAATAATATGTAGATGTTTTGTTGTTTGAAATTCGTGTGAATTAAATCTCAATTTTAAGTGCGATGGAGATTTTCACACATTGAGTTTTCTAGAAAAAAAAAAAAAAAAAAAAAAAAAAAAAAAAAAAAAAAAAAAAAAAAAAAAAAAAAAAAAAAAAAAAAAAAAAAAAAAAAAAAAAAAAAAAAAAAAAAAAAAAAAAAAAAAAAAAAAAAAAAAAA